ACTGCCCCTTGCACGTCGTTTATTTAGATGAGGCAAGTTTAGCTTCTGAGCTTATTCTAGTTTTTTGGCAATCTGTCCTCACTGCACCTTTGGGTTTTCAGGTTGTTCATACATAAACACACATGCCCAGTCTAATATTAAGGCTCCGTTTGGTGACCATTTTTCTACAAAAAAATGCATTCTTTGTGTCAAATCACACATTTTTTGTGTTTCTTTCTAACCATGAACCTCACTTGATGTGAAAGAAAAAATGTATTATTTGAAGAAAGAATGACTCCCAAACGGAGGCTAAATGGACCCACAATCTCCATCAAACTATGAAATATTTGGGACGTTCATAACTCCTAAAATTAATTTCATTTCTTGTTGAATTTGTTCCAATGTCTTATAGACGATTCTTTTAGGAAGGGAATAATAGAGTGAGGTAAAAGAAGACATGTTACATGTTGCTGAAGATTGGAGTTGGATGACACTATTGGTTGTTTTCTTCTTTCTTTCTTGGGTAATTATGGGATCTTATATTTTCATCAAAAAAAAAAATTTTGTTTGATCAGTTAACTTGTGAAGTTCTTATAATTTCGTAAAGAACTGGTGTTCGTTCAGGGGGAACCCTTGTTACTTACAAACATAGTTTGCAGATGTCATTTTCTAGGTTTGTCTGCAAGTTTCCTTGAAGGTTGAATAAACTATTTAAGTGATTGGATGATTAAGTCATGATCACAATCTTTTGGTTAGCTGAATTATAATGTGACTAAATTGGGAAGCCCAAAGTAAAATGTTTGGTGCTACGACAAACAATGACCAGTTTGATCAAAAGGACGTCTTTAAATGAGGATATAATCGTCTTTTCAACTAAAATCTGACTTTTTACCGGTCAACTGGGCAAAAACCGTCTCGTAGGAACAAGGTGCTACAAACATGAAATTATGGAAGAGTCTTAGAATTAGTGACAATCCTTTTTGGAGAACTATTTTAGGTCGGTAGATATATACTCGTGTAATCTCTTTATCACCAATAGATTTGATTCTTGAGAATTTACTATTATACCTCTATAGATTTTCACAAAGCTTTTACGGTTTTGCTGGCGCATTTTCTATACCTTTTCAATTTACTACGATGCAAATCTATAATCTTTGCTCTGGTATTTTCTTCCTCGTTCCTTCCCTGTATGTAGGTGTGCATGCTGGTTGTTTTGCGGGTGGGGATTTTAGTACGTGAAAGATCGGTGGGATTATAGACTTGCTGCTAGCCATAAATAGAGTCATTATTAACATTTTTTTCTCTTTTAATATGCAGATCTCGTTCTTCTCAATGATGATGGTGAAGTATTTCGGTCTCTATGTGGTTCCAGAACTGTAATTCCCTGGTGGATTCTTAACTTGCTGTTGCGCTGAGGAGTAGGCGTTGTTTCTTCATGATTGCTGTTAACTTGCAGGGTTTCCCTAGTTTAGGGAATTGTAATTATTCTGGTAAATGTTGATAGCAGATGTGGATGATAACAGTAGATGCTAATGCTAGTCGTGTTTGTTTCGTAGCTTTTGTACATTGTTGACATCGTTTAGTCAGTTCGAATAATGGGTCTGGTCATTTTATTGTTGTTTTAGGTCATGAATCGTGTAATAACCCATTGTGCTTTCTTTTCTTGTGTATAAAATGTGTAGAAAAATTGAAACTTCATTTCTTGTGCATACTTATTTTGAATTGTAGACTGTTGTTTTTGGACATAAGCACTACGCTGTTTATAGCTGTTTTTGATGTATCAGGGGAAGCGAGTCCTCTCTTATTTCGACTTGTCCGAAGTTTCTAATAGCACGTTTCGACTGGTTCGTGGAATACTCTAAGGTGCTATGTAATGGTGAATCTTGGATCTTCAACGGCAGTTGAATGGTTGGGGTACGATAGGATGGAATAGATAGAGCTATCTTGTCTTCCTCCGCACAATACGGCGTGTTATTGTCACCCTTGGTGGCATGGTACTTGTCCTATGGAAATATTTTCTCCAACAAGAATTGATTTTGTCAAATTTCTAAAGATAGATGGTAATGCATTTAATGTGATCACATGGGATGGGCTAGTTAGAAATAAATATGATATTTGCATGCAGCAGCCCCCCATTCCTTAGACCCCCCAAATTTAGGTGTCTAGGTGTGTTTGATGGATATTATTGAGGAAATAATGTATTTTAAATAGTGATATGATATGAAATATGTGGTAAAAAAGTAAGGAAAAATTATTGATGTGATGAAAATTATTATTTTATTGAAAAATAATACTGTCTTGCATTATTAAAAGCAATTACAACACAAAAAAAACTTAAGTAACACATGATTTATAGTAGTTTATTTTTACCGGAGAGTTATATTCACTTGCTGACTTCTATACCGAAGGAGATCACAATGTTGTATTTTGAAACTCTACACGGAAAAGGGTTAAATCTTATTACTCTTCATATGTAGATGAAATATGAGAACTACTTGATATAAATGTGAACTGCCAAATATACTTCTAAATTAGGTTGATTTGTGATTGAAGAAAACAATAAACGGTATAATATAACTGCAAACATCCTACAATTGAATTCAAACTCTTGTTCATCATCTGAATAATGAGATGGAGAAACACGAAGTAGGGATGGCAATGAGGCGAGATGGGACGGGGCGGGACGGGGGGCACTCCCCGCCTCCCGCCCCGCTAAAAAATTCCCCGCCCGTTACCCGTTTAGGGCGGGGCGGGATCCTTACCCCGTTTAAATTTTTTTTTTTTTTTAACTTTTTGATATTTTATTTTTATTACCCGTATTCATTAGATTTAGACAAATAAATTTAGTTGCTATTTTCTATTAGAACTAATGAAAATTTGTGAAAATTTTCATTTAAAGTATTGAATTCTAAAAAAAATTTAATGGGTGGGACCCACGGATATCGAATTTTTTGGCCATCCCTAACACGAAGTAATCTTGAAAAATGGAGAACACTAAAGAAGATAAAGAAAATGAAAAAGTAGGTGAGAAAAGGATCCTTTGACCTTAAAACAAATGAAATATGTAACATCTAAAGGCATCCAAGAACCTATAAAGTGAAAGCAAAAGTTGTGAAATTCATGGTTATCCACTAAAGTCTCAACTTTCGAAGATTCTCTTACATTGTACTAATACATTTCAACATAGAAGAGTATACCATACTAATGTCAAGTGCTATTGGAATGGAGTCAAGGGGCATTTTTGTCATTTTGTCACAACATCCTTAGCTGACTGTCCTATACGAGCCCGAAAATGCTTTGTAATGGAATAGAACTCAAGTTAATGTGGATAGGAACGGGACTGGCTCATCGAGACTTTTGGTGGTGGGACGACTAAAATATTTTCATTTTTTTGTTTCATTTATTTATTTATATACAATTCAAATTTAACAACAAAATGGTAATAAGAATTAACAAAAATGTAAAAATCAAGAGTGGGGGACATGTAACCTCTAATAATCAATTTAGGCACCGTTTGGTAACCATTATTCTAGAAAAAAAAATGCATTCTTTATATCAAATCACATTTTTTTTGTGATTGAAAATGAAGAAAAAGTTATTGATGTGATGGAAAATATTATTTTATTGATGAATGTGTGGTTGAAATTAGTAGAATAATGAGAATGAAAAAAAAAGAATGGATACCAAACAGAGGCTTATTGTTAAAAGTCAAGCACGGAGGACAAGGGCACAATACAACTCTAGTTGGTATTGTTAAAAATTGCCTTTTTACTAACTTTTGATAGCAGTTAATAAAATGTGTAATTGAAACGTTGATAAAAGTTGTAATTTCATAAAAATGTAAGATTAAAATTAATTGTTGATTTTGAATTCAATTTTAATTAATCTTTTTAGCTAAGCCCCTGTTTGTTTACTATTATTTCAAAAAATTGTTTGCTACAGTAAGATTCTCTACCACACATTCACCCAATAAAATATTCTACACACAAACCAATAAAATTACTTTAATTTTCAATCATACATTCTCCAAAAAATATTATTTATTACTTTATTTTTCTCCCATTAATGGGAGACAAACACACCCTTAACGAAATAGGACATACCAACTTTATGAATTGACAAAAAAGGACATGGGACATGACAATTTAAAAATCAATTAAAGTCCCTCTCTAGTAGAATATCATTTTTGTTGATAGGGATTGTGCACAATTATCCACGATCGTCACATACTCACATTATTATTGCTTAAAATACAAGCCGATAAGTGGACATACGTGTCCCTTCTTTACCACTACTCTAACCACAAACTTCATAGAGTATCCAAGAGAAAGAAAGTGGTCCCAAAGACGGGCAAAGATTCAATCTCGCTCCTGTTTCAAGAATTAGAGAGAGGAAATTCAGTTCCAGTTTCCACTTTTGAGCCATGTGTTGTGATGGAGATTGCAGGCCTTTAGGCTTCCTTTTAGGCCTTCCCTTTGCGTTTCTTTCCCTTATCATTTCCCTCGTCGGCATCGTTATTTGGATCGTCGGGTACTTTTTCCTGGGATCCTCTCTTTCTTTCTGTGGGTATAATTTTGGTTAATTTTGATTAATTTGTGTTGTATGAATAGGTTGTTGCTGAGTTGTATATGCCCGTGTTGCCTTTGCGTGACGGTGTTGGTGGAGCTGGCGCTGGAGCTGATCAAAGCCCCATTTCACGTCATGGAGTGGTTTACTTCTCAAATCCCTTGTTGAGAATTTGGGAATTTTCATGATTATGATTTTGTAATTGGGTAATCTGGGCACTTGTTTTTAGACTTTCTGGTTTGGTTATGCTGTAGATTGAAGTACCCATGTAATTCTTGGATGGATCATGCTTATTCGATTTCTACTTCCATGTTTTTAGTGAATGATAAAAAGAAAATAAAAGTTCTTATTCGACTTCTGCATTTGTTTTTAGCCTTTTTTATGAAGTATATCATCTCAAGCTTTGAAAAGCTAGATTTGTGTTGTAAAAACATTGAATGAATTACAGAGAACATACCAATCCTGGCCAGTGAGGCTGGTTTGAGGTTTAGAATTTCTCGTCTGCTTTTTCCATTTTTCAAGCTTGAATTGTTGATTGTCCCTTGTTTCCTGTTCATTTACATGACCTACGATTCGGGTTTTGGGGTAAAACAAGCAGGATTATGTGGATTAGAACTAGCTTGGCTACGATATCTACCAAAAGAGTAGTATTTAACAGTGTGGACAATCAGTTGGTTTACAAACTCAATTTACATGTGATAAAATCAAGGATAAAAAGGAAATTGGAAATCTGATATATTGCAGGAAGAAAAAAAGGGATAGACCCGCTGGAATAAGGCAGGGAAGATGATGAATATTTCATTCAATCAACTTGAAGAAATTACAATGCAAACTATTTTATTTATAGAGAAAGTAGCTGACAAACTAACAACATAACAAACTAAAGAAAGAACTAGAAGAAGTTAGAATCTGAAAGCTAGAAGAAGAGCTGGAACGTGTGAGCTGCTGATTTTGCTGAACTGGTGAGAAGCTATTGAACTGGAGAGGCTGGTTTGCTGGTGAACTGGAGAACAAGTGGAATATTCCAACACTCCCCCCTCAAGATGGAACATCTTGAACCGTAGAGAGAAGAGTAGAGATGTAATCAAGAAAGTTCCTTATTTCGAATCAGTTTCAGTTTTCTTCAATTCCATTTGTGGTCTATGGTTAAAACTCCAACGGGTATTCTCAAACCATTTGGTAACCTGCTAGATTGTGAGCTCTAATTCCTTTGCCCAATTCTCTTTCACAGCTCGTTCAAGGTGCTGATCGGTGGTGCTGATCTTTTAACATTTGCACCCACAGAACCTGTTTGATCACCAGGTGCATTGATTGTGTCCCTATCAAATACATTTTTGTTAGTTCTTTTGGACCCATGTTCACTCTCTGTCGAGTTTTCATCATTGTCATCCATTTCATTTTTGAGCTAATGGAGTTTTGTCAGGAGACACTTTGTTTGCTTTTTCACGGTTTATCTTCCTTCTCTTTTGAGAAGGAATAATCTTCATCACTTGATTCAGAAGATAAAATCAATTGTTTTGTGAAGATCTGAGAAGTCTGCCATTCCAGCAGGTTCTATCTTCAATTTCCGGTTTCTATAGTTCTCAGTTTTAGTTTTCTGCAGTACAACAGATTCAATTTCGTCTTGATCATTATTTCATCATCTCTTCGCAGCTTTTGATAACTGCTACATTTGGAACCTTCATAAAGGTTCAATTGGGTGGACTGCTTTGTCCTTTGATCGGGAATCTGACTGAGAATTTTCAGTCACTGTCGGAGATGAATTTTCATTCATTTGGTAGACTTCCCCAAAATTGCAGACGGTTCGTCTGGGAAATCAATTCAGAACTGAATAGCAGATGATCTTTCTGGTAATGGATCTACTACCCTCAATCCTCAAAGAGGAAGAAATTCGTTTTGACATTTCGTCGAACATCTAGTAAGCCAAGCCACTATCCTGTTAGAACTTTTTCTCTTCAGTTTTCATGAATTTCCATTTCTCAGAAGGATAACCGTAGAAAAACGAATTGAAAATAAAGGGATTTTTTTTCTTTTTTTTCCTGCTCTGATACCATGATAAAATCAAGGACAAAGACGAAATTGGAAATCTGAAATAATGCAGGAAGAAAAAAGGGATAGACCTGCTGGAATAAGAAAGGGAAGATGATGAATATTTCATTCAATCAACTTGAAGAAATTACGATGCAAACTATTCTATTTATAGAGAAAGTAGCTAACAAACTAACAACTTAACAAACTAAAGAAGGAACTAGAAGAAGCTGGAATTTGGAAGCTGGAAGAAGAGCTGGAACTTGTGAGCTGCTGATTTTGCTGAGCTGGAGAGAAGCTGTTGAACTGAAGAGGCTGGTGAACTGGTGAACAAGTGGAATATTCCATCAACATGGCTTCACTAATGCAATAACATCACATGCCAACTAAAGCATAGAGGGCACAAAGAGTCTAGCTTCGTGTGTGGTGCATTTAAAAAAATTCCTTGTAAGATTAATGTATTTGATATTTGAAATATACCTAGAGCAAAAACCCTGAACCAGATCTGTATTCCATTCAGGAGGTCTCTGAGCACGCCTAGCAGTCATTTCTGTGATCTTGTAATACTGAGCAGATGAGAATGAGATCAACGTTCAAATCCAAAGTGGGCTTGAGGAAACGAATTCCAAAAATTGTGCCTATTCAAACTATTCAAGTCCGTCTGCCTCTTTTCTTGATATAAGATTCACTGTTTATAAGCTTATGATTGTAGTTGGCTTAGTTTCGAATATAGACTGGTTCCGCCATTTCAGCAGTGTGATACTTCATGTATGCAAAGACACACGGGCTGAGAACTCTGCAGAAGAAAAACTTTACCATTGATATTGGCTGGTCTTGAAGCTGAAAGGTTTAAATGCTCCTCTGGATCAAGATGCATTACCCCAATTCCTTATTTAAGATTGATAAATGTGTCATCCCTTCGATTGCTTGGTGGTCTAGAAGCTTGCTATGTGTTCAGAAAATCCATACATACAGAATGACAGAATGCCTCGATCCCTGATTCTTGCCCTCTATGATACAGAACAATAGGTCCAGTCCCTGTTCTCATCTCTCTGCTTTGGCTGCTCTCTTTCTCTTCCACCACCTGAATGTAACTTTTGCTTTGCTCTACAAGTTTCCAGCATGCTAAAGCTGACAAGAAAATCGTCAAGAAACTTCCTTTCTGGTTGTGATTCAATCATAAAACTATGAGAGGAAATCTAGCCAAGGGTTCTAGACAGAGACAGTTCCCAACTCTTATCAATTATTCCTCATAGGGTAAAACAGCACATTATGCTGTCTGCTGCTGCAGCCAATCCATGAAATTACCCATAGAATTGGGAAGTATGAGCAGGGGATTCAATAAATAAGAAAGAGTCTCTCATCCATTAAGGTCTAAGATGTGTACTCTGGACATCTTCTTGCTCCTAGGGCAAGGCTACATGCCTACTATTCCCCACTTAATGTAGCTCTTTCCCTGAAGGACCAGTAGCCTTCCTTTCTTAACATACAATCGACTGCTGCCTTAGTTAAACCACACCATTAGTGCAAAATATGATTGCCTGCCATATTTAATGCATGATCATGGCTATTTGTCGTCCTTAGTTATTGTGATTTCCTTATTTTGATCCACAGTATTAAACTAAAACGATAAATACAATGGACCATATCTCAATTTTCATCTTGTTCTTTATACTTCATAATTTGGCCCTTATGAAAAGATTTTAGTACCACTGAACTGTTCTTACCTGAAGCAACAAACTGTAATAAAGAGCTAACTTACATGATTCTTAAAATGAAAGGATTGTAGTCTTGTTGCATTTCACGTAGATACAGCAATTAACACACGTTGAGCAAAAAGATTCTAGCTTGCTGTAGGAAGCATATAAGGATTATCCTAGTAGGATTAATGCATTTAATATTTGAAGTATATTAGTAGAGTAAAAACTTGGGAACCAGATTAGATTTCACTCAGGACAGCTATCTAAGCAAACCGAGCAGTGAATTCTGTGATCTTGTTCAAAGAGATTGATGATGATGAATACAGACGAGAAGTAAAAATCCAAAGTGGGCTCAATGGTTGATTTATGTATCCTTTCTTGATCAAGTATTCACTGTTTATAAGCACACATGGTCGTAGTTGTCTTAGTTTCGAATATAGGTTGGTTCGGCGTTGCAGTTTTATGATACTGTACGCAAAGGAAATCAACCCCTTATTCACTTGGAAACACCGGCCCTTTGAACTAAGCAGAAGAAAAGCTTCATACCTAGTTTGTGGCTAGTTTGGAATCTGCAAGGTTTGGATGCCCTCGAACGATTCATCACCCTAATCCTTGGCCAAAATCATTATGGATGTGTTGTCTCTTCAATTTCTAGGTTATCAATGCCCTGATATTCCCTGCACTAACAGGTACAGCCCTTGTTCTCATCTCTCTGCTTTGACTCTTCTCGTCTCGTCTCGTCCACCATCTAGGCTCTTACTGCAATGCAAGTATTGAGCACAAGAATTCTGGCTCATGTCTTTAACAATCTGCCCTTACTGATAATTTTGTTGATCGAGTAGGATTATATACATGCACACTACTCGAGGAATTTCCCTAGTTTGAGTACTCAGTACAAAATGACATTAAAGAAAACGCACGGTATGACAGGTTTAACGCAAACGTGTCTGATGCTCAATGGCGGAGGCACGGAGCCAAGACCCATGACGGCAGTTGGCTTTGCCGATTTCCCTTTTTTTTTTTTTTTTTTCCCCCTATATCATCTCAAGCACATCATTGTGGTCCGTATAGTTGTGGCAATTGAGCCGAGCGGCTCGACCGCTCGACTCGTATTGTAGCGGCCCACGAGTCGCTCGGGCTCGTCAAAAAACGAGCCCGAGCACGAGCCAAGCAGGCCCGCTCGGTAGGCGAGCCCAGCGGCTCGTTTTTTTTTTTT